TAATACAGTATGAGTACAACAGTTTTTTAACTGACAACCATTCGAAAAGCGATTACGGTAAAATCTTTTGAATAACGAAAGAAAGCGAAAGTCATTGTTTTCGTCTTTCCACTGTAATATGTACGTCATTGCAGCAAAAATATTATGTTTCCATATTTATTTCTGAGAATACCTATATTCATTCAGTCACAGTTAAGGTAAAATATACTTGTGATGTAATATTTTAATGAAAATACGGTATCGTAGTTTTCTTTTGTTTCAAATTTAATTAACAAGATTGATGTTTCAAATGTAATGAACAAAAATTTATGTACAGTATCTATAAATAAACTTTAATAAATGAATACTTTGTTTTACATCGTCCTGTGCTACCATACCATGGATTTGGCTACTTTGGGCTTGCTATGATGACACAAGAGGTCTGCCCTGGCAACTGTACCGACACTCACAGCTGGTGGTGCATTTGTGCATCGTTTCCATTGTTTACTGGTAAATATTTTTCAACCTAACGAAACTATTACCCGTTTAGAGGTCGACCCCCAATTTTTTGCCAAATAATTTGGTCTTAAAAACTTGAACTACACACAGGTATATACGGTAAATAAGGACATGGGGGGACCAGGTTATTTTTTTTGGGGGGGGGGGGCAGCACCACATATACGCGGATTTTTAACATCCACGGGTATCTCTGTTACGTAACCCCCGTGTATGTTAAGGGCCGACTGTATTATCATTGTACTGTATTCTTATCCTTATTATTATTACAGTTTGTATTAAACATTAAAAATGCAGAAATAATTTTCAATTAACATTGCAGACTGTATTGAGAATACAGGCATCCCCTGGGTTACGTAAACTCTGGTAACGTAAATTTGCTCCTACAGATGTTTATAAATTATGACCAATAAATTCGGGATATGGACAAAAATTCACCCTTACGGAAATTGGGTAAATTTTTAAGTAATTTTTTTTTTCAATACTACAGCCCGGGTTACGGATTTTCGCTCTTGCGGAATTTTTAAATTATGACCAATAATTTTGCGTTACTGTCCGTAAATCCGCCCTTACGGAAATTGGGGTAAATTTTAACAATTTAAAAAAAGATCACTATAAAATTATAAAAAAAATTTAAATTGAAATTTTTTGGTGTGGATTTCTTGGTGTTTGCTACCGCCAAGCGTGGCGCCGCCATGTGGAGTCACTCCATTGTTTACATCCAGTGTGCGCACATGTTTCTCGGCCTAGCAGTTGGATTTAACTTTTACAAACATACAGTAAGTACAGTACAGTGCATTACCCTTATTCAAGATGACTGGAAAGAGGCCATCAAGTGGAAGTGACCGCAGTAGTGCAAAAAGAAGCCGCAAAGGCATTACATTGGTTGTTAAACTTGATGTGTTAAGAAGGTATATCATAAATTATTTAATGTACTGTATTGTATGTGTTTATAAATGTTTATTTTCATTCATAAAAGTGCTTGAATTACGTTTTGCGGCCGAAAAAAATTCTGTAGGAACGCATCTCCAGTTTTATAATGGAAGTCAATGGGAAAATAGGTTTCGCGTTACGGAATTTCGCAATGCGATCAATTTTCCAGGAACGGAACCCTTCCATAACGCAAGGGATGCCTGTATTAGAAAAAAATTCACAGAAATAATATAATTTATTTCATGTGGATTTCTTGGTGGTTGGTACAATGCTGTACAGGGTGAGGCAGGAGTCAGTAGTGCTCCTCCGTCTCCCTCCCAGTAACTCTTATTGCACCACCTTACCTCACCTAACGCAGCACTCAACATCTTTTGTGATAAGTTAAAGTCAAGTGTTTTGTATATTGATTATAATATTATATCATAAAATAATCAATATATGTGTTAAAAAAAATAAACTTTCATTGATAAATGTGCTTGTATTACAACTTTTTTTTTTATAAATATTTCCTTGGGAACACATCTCCAATTATATAATGGAAGTCAATGGGAAAATTGGTTTCGCATTACGAAATTTCACGTTACGGACAAATTTTCATGGACACATACCTTCCGTAACCTGGGGATGCCTGTATTTTTAAAACATTTAATTACCATCTTGTATTATGTTTAACATGGTAGAATTTCATGACTATACCTACTGTATATGGGTTCCATGACATTTGCTCACAGGATGAACCTAATCTAACCTAACCTAACATGTCTTCCTTTCCATTATGGTTGAGTATATACCTTGTAAACAAATGTCTGCACACTAACTATATGAAGACTCTGGTGAGGATCTATATACAGTACAGTATTTACATGGAATATTTTTCCAAATAAAAGACCATTTAAACAGCAGATACTTTTCTCCAACTGCTGGTTTAGTCCATGTCATTAACATATTGTATTCATTTTTATTCCTGACATTGTTAAAGTGTTCATGTATTGCTATCTTTCTTAGGGTATTTATTGCATTCAAGGTTGACAACCCTTTATCCGAAATTCCAAAAACCGAAAAGCTCTGAAAACCGAAAGTTTTTTTGTGGAGCAATATTTTTTTTTTTTTTTTTTTTTGTAACAGCCCACCCGGGCACAGGTCACTGACCCACATTGGGGCCTGGGGGTGAAAATTTAATAGTAATAATAATAATAATAATAATAATAATAATAATAATAGTAATGATAATACAGTGACCCCTCGTTTAACGAACGCTTCGGTTAACGAAATTTCGGTTAATGAACTGCCTTCCATTAGGATCTTCATTTCGGTTAACGAACAAAAATTCGGTTAACGAATTTCTTACGAACCGACCTCAACATGTTTTCGCTTGCACTGGCCGGGCAACCAGCTTTAGTATCAGTCCGCCAATACATTAATCGGTTCTAGGGCTTAAATTCCTAACTATTTTAGTAAATATCAAGAAGTTTATACTATTCAATAATTTTAAAAGTTTAATATTCAATTTTTTAGTCATTTTAACAATTATTGAACATAATTGAAGGTAAAGTGACTAGTTTAAAGCGCAGCATCCAGCCTCTTAACACAGCAAACAGGCGTTAGTCTCTCTGTTTTCACTGGAGGTAACATCTTGCTTGAGACTCTCTTCAACTAAATGCTTTTTTCTGTGTTTCCAAGCAAATTATTGGTCATTTTGAAATATATTTTACATATTGACAATATATAATGCAGTACAGTGTTGATTTAAAGAAAATAATCTTGAAATACACCAAGAGAACTAAAATTTTATGGGTGAAATGGTGCCATGGGGTGACTTCTCTTCCACCCCAATGCCTTCTCTTCTTCCTTCTCCTCCACCCCCATTGTAATTCCCATCATCATCATCATCATCATCCAGGAGCCTTGTACATACACACCTCAAAGTAAGTGAACTTTTCTACCATTTTTGTTGAATTTAGGAAATTTTCGGTGAGCTGGAACCAATTACCCAAAAACCCATTGAAACAATGGTTTCGGTTAACGAACTTTTCGGTTAACGAACGACCTTCTGGAACGGATTGAGTTCGTTAACCGAGGGGTCACTGTACAGTAATAATAATAATTATTCATAGTAAATAAAAAATTTTATAAAAAATACACAAAAATAAAGTAAGAATGATAACAATAATTCTTTAATAATAAAATAATAATATTAATAATAATAATAATAATAATAATAATAATAATAATAATAATAAAGAAATACAAGAATGAAAAAATGATCAAAAGTGAGAAACACGACCTAGACCTATGAATTACTGTATTATTATTATTATTATTATTATTATTATTATTATTATTATTATTATTATTATTTTTATTTTTATTATTATTTTTTAGCCTCCAGGCCCCAATGTGGGTCATGACCTGTGCCCGGGTGGGCTGATCCCTGTAAAAAAAAAAAAAAAACCTAACCATTCTGAAAACCGAAAAATTCCAAAAACCAAAATGCATCTGGTCCCAAGGATTTCGGATAAGGGATTGTCAACCTGTACTATAATCAGGTGGAGATAAGTAGGAAACATTATCTCAAGGTTTCATATCTTGTAGATAACTGGCCTTTATACTTGTATAATACGAAAGTAAAAAATTTTGGTGCAAAGATAATTTCCTGTTTGATAGAAAACTAACAGTTATGGTGATATTTTTTCAAGATTTTATCCCAATTCATCTGTACAGTGAGTTCATCACTGTCATAACAAAATTATAATACCTAATGCTGTACTTTGTTAAATTCTTCTGACTTCATCCACAGAACAGGCCATAGTTCTCTTTATTTACACTCACCCAACCCCAAGTTCGTGACCAACTTATTACTTTATTTGTTAGATTTAATAAGGATAAAGAAGAAAGGAACAGATACTACACTTATGGTTGTCACAGGCTTTATTTACCTACATTCACCGTAAGTGATCGTATTTCATACACAGAAATGGCTTATAATCCAAGAAAATAGGAAAATGAGGTGCACCTTAGCTTGGGATTCAAGTTTTTCATGCTCGTAAATTGTGTAGCAAGAGCAAACGTTTCGTGCCACTGACAACTTTTTGAGGGTGCAAGCATACCAACCTCCCAGTCTCCCGCCAGTTGGTACACCTGACTGCACTACGATGACGTAGTAACAACAAACTACGGTCGTACCACCATGGCCATTCTTGAATAATCACTAAACTTTTCTTCCATTGTATTACGACCGCCGGGGTACCACAGCATCGTGTACTCCACGGCAGTTCTTGCATTTTGCCCGAGTCACATACTGATAGTGAGCACACAGTGAGATACACACACATGCCAGTCACCCTTCGTTTTCTTCACAAAACTTTAGTTTTAAAATTTTTATCATAAACAGCTCCTTCCCAACTTACGACCTACTCGACTTACGACCTGGATTTGGGTCCCTAACCCCATCGTAAGTCGGGGAGGAGCTGTGCAGAGTATAATAATGATAATAATAATAATAATAATAATAATGTTAACTGTGTAAGAGACCCAAAATTTTCCATAAAAGTCAAATAAATAATACATTTCAGGTACAGTTGAAGCCTCGGCCGTGGCACGAGCGGTGGGAGAGAAAAAACTTGCAAGGATTGTTGGATCTTGGTCTGCCTGAAAGATTTTACAAGCGTGCAAAGTTGAGTGAGAAACCCTGGGAAAAGTTTGATCTCATGAAAGAGTACAGGTAAGAATGTGTGCATTGTTAGATGTAGGATATTACTGTGTTCATCACTAAGGCTCTTTAGAATAAATCAAATATTGTGCATGAAATTTAAAAATACTGTACTACCCAGTGATAGCCTTATAGCCAGAATAATTGGTGCAGAGTTCTTCCAGGAATGCGAGATTTCTTTGGAATAAGACGACTTTCTTTTCTTTTGAAATTTTTCTGGTTATTGGGAAAAGTTTTCTTAGACCATAAACTATGTATCTCACTGGCAGACAGACAGACAGACACACTATTGCACATCCCCGGAATGTTTCTGGGTGCTGGGGAAAGTTTTCTGAGAGTTTAAGAGAGTAAACTACGCATCTCATCTCGCACGGACAAGCACTCTCTCATTACATTTGCAGCAGGCGCGAGCAAAAATATTTACAGCTAGCAAAAAGAGAGATGAATTTGGTACCATAATGATCCTGAATATTTTCTCTTTGAGGCTGTTATAACAAAAGATCCTTAAACAAAATATTTTGACATGATATAAGGATGGGAACTCGGCTCTTTTATGAAAAAGCATAAGAAATGCTTATACCGGAGTCAATAAAATCAGTTCTAATTAAGTTAGAAACACCATTTTTTCCCCAAATAATTCTGAAAGGTTTCTCTAAAGACTTGGAGAAGTTGGGTTTGATAATTTTCTGAACTTGGGTCTTCTTTAACTTGAGGCTCTGACCTTTAGCGTATGAAGACCAGAACGTCCGACTGGCGCACCCTGGGTGACGTTCCAGAATGTGCGCCTTTTCCCGCCACTGTTTAAATGGTCAGCGTGGGTTATCAGGTTCCCATGTGACTACTTGCCTGTCACGCCACACCTCGGCCACAGGGAAGCTTCCTGGATGTAATTTCCTACTTTTGTTTGTTTTATTTTTTGTCCATTTTATTATGTTGTATCAAAGTTATATTGCTAAAAGTAGTGTACAGTAGTTGTATTGTAGTGAAGTATTACTGTAAAATAATGCTATGATTATGTTATAAATGTATTTATTTGTGGAATTATTATTATTTTATGTATTACTTGATCTACCAAACACAAAGACAGCCAGACAGCTGGCGACAGACTGCTGTGTGTCGCCAAGCACTTTTTATGAAAATTAATGTAAAAAAATAAATTCTAAATGAATTATTTATAGGAGATAAGTATTATGATCAGTAAATATATGCATTATTGGCCACTTTGGACACAAAGACTGGCTAAAAATAGCCCTCTTATGCATGGTCAGAGGGAAGCTTCTTGGTAAATAACTTGTTTTGTTTGTTTATTTCCATTGTTTGTCTATTTTATCATGTTGTATCAAAGTAATATTACTAAAAGTTGTGTTTGTGTCTCGCTGAGAACTTCTTATGAAGAGTAATGCAAATAAAATAGTCTAAATGAATTATTTATAGGAAATAAGTATTATGATCAGTAAATAAATGCATTATTGGCCAATTCGGACACAAAGGCAAGCGGGAAGATGACCCCTAAGTGCGTAGTGACCGCGAGCGCTCTATGTAAAAAAAACTTTCCCCTTATTTGTCTCGTCACTGAGGCGCCACGGAGAATATAGAGGGACAATATATAGTTTTTCTTGCGTCTTTTTCATTGTTTCATCATTTATAAAGGTTAATAATTATTTTTGGAAAAGTTGATTTTTCTCGTTTTACCCCTGCGTGGGGGGTATGGCCGTCCTGACCCTAGCCCGGGGCATAAGGGTTAATATTTTGAATGTTTCATTAAAAAAAAATTTTAAGATTTAATTTTATGGTGGTTTTCATAATGGTCGACATGGAAGGGGTAAGACTAATTCATGATCTGACAGTACATTAGGTGCAGTATAAACAGAACAAGTCCCAAAAGTTTCCTTCCCAAATATTTGCACCACCGTCCACCTGCCTTCTGGTACACTTTTAACCCCAGATAAGTGAAAACTTGCTATCCTTGCGAAGTGCTTATGTAATATAATCATAAAGTAAACCCTTCGTAACTCCTAATTCAATATACAGTAGTACCCCGCTTAACGCGGTCAATAAAACCCACAGGGTACCGTGTTAAGTGAAAACCGCGCTAAGTGAACAACAGAACATATGGGATTAATTCCAATAGAAACTGGCCCGATCCCCAAACTCCACTTTTTCCGACACAATACCTATGTTCTAGTAAAAATAACATCTTAATTTTATGATGGTACATGCACACAATTAATACTTAAGAGAAATAGAGAAATACAGTCGCCAAGTTAATGTCCATTCAAATAATGGACTCAACTCCCTCCCCCTCTTCTCACACTACACTGCTCGCTCTTCCCTCTCTGAGAAATTTTGGGGGGGAAACCACTAAATTTTAATAAATAATACCTCAAACTAAAGTTAGGATAATACAATTGACATTGCTGGATTCCTTGTAAGACCAGGAATATTTTGAATATAAATGTCATATATTTTGCACAAAAGATAACATATTTACTGAGAGTAAACATTATATAAAAAATTTGTATGTCTAATGCAAAATCTATGATGTTTATATTCAAAATGATCACCAAATTGTAAGAATTCCAGCAATGTAAATTATATTCTGGCCGGGTAATTTGTATGAATTTTATGAGCTAAAACAAATATCTTCAGTTAATAAAAAAAAAAAAAATTCTTCGACACTATCTGTCAATCAAAGTACCCCACCTTGCCTCCCCCCCTCTTCCAACCGTGCAGTCAGTCCCAACCCTCCCTCCACCCCCCACCAATCCTCCCTTCAAGAGATGGGTGAAAAAACTAAATTTTAACATTTTGTATTAAATAATACCTCAGATTAAAGTTAGGATAATATAATTGACATTGCTGGATTCCTTGTAAGACCAGGAATATTTTGAATACAAATGTCATATATTTTGCACAAAAAATAACATATTTACTCAGAGTAAACATTCTATCTAAAATTTGTATGTCTAATGCAAAATCTATGATGTTTATATTCAAAATGATCACCAAATTGTAAGAATTCTAGCAATGTAAATTATATTCTGACCGGGTAATTTGTATGAATTTTATGAGCTAAAACAAATATCTTCAGTTAATAATAAAAAAAAATATTCTTCACACAGTAACAGATGGTCGGTCGGTCCCTTCCTCCCCCCCACCCCCCACCAACCCTCCCTACCAGATGTGTGGGAAAACCAGAATATTTACCATTTTAGTATTAAATAATACCTCAAACTAAAGTTAGGATAATATAATTGACATTGCTGGATTCCTTGTAAGACCAGGAATATTTTGAATACAAATGTCATATATTTTGCACAAAAAATAACATATTTACTCAGAGTAAACATTATATCTAAAATTTGTATGTCTTATGCAAAATCTATGATGTTTATATTCAAAATGATCATCATATTGTAAGAATTCCAGCAATGTAAATTATATTCTGGCCGGGTAATTTGTATGAATTTTATGAGCTAAAACAGGCAGTCAGGCAGGGTGGCGGGTGGGGGGTGGGCCGAATCTAAAAATAGCTCTCCAGCCGGACACTCACCGCGTATACGTGGAAAAAACCCGCGTTAAGTGAAAGTTAGGCTCTGGCGAGGCACCACGTATACGGTAAAACGCGCTAAGCGAAACCGCGTTAAGCGGGGTAATACTGTAACTTGTAATGGCAGTAAAATATTCAACTGTAAATTATTTTTGAATATTTTTTTAACGTAATATGCAATATTCCAAAATATGATGCTGCAATCTGAATGGCATACACGTGCGACCCGCACAAGATGTGTGGGGGGTTCTGCCCCCCCCCCCCCTCCCCCCTACCGCTCCCCTTGCTTAGTGTGATAACTCCGGCGCATGTAAGAAATGTTTATTTCATTTATATTTTTACCTTTTAATAATAATTTTTATTTATTTATTTATTTATTTATTTTCTTTTCTTTATGAAAAACTAAAAAGAAAAATGAAGAAATTTATGAATGTCTACCTGAAATTACGAGTTAAAAAATAACCGCTGTAAGTCTGGCATCCTTACACTGGTTCCGTTACCGTCTCCCAGGCATTTCTGGCAAAGAAGGTGCTGTAAGTGCTAACAATACAGACTTGTACTGTAATGTCCCCATCACCTCTGACACTTACCACATGGCCCCACAAGCTTGAACTATCCTCATCCATCCCTGGTAGTGCTGGTAAGTCTTCATTTTTATGCAAGTTTTCTGATCTTGGTCGGTAATTTTGATCAAAAAGTTTGGTATGGGGGAGGAACAAAAGACTGGGAGGAAAGTGCCTTGATAAATCAGAAAATATGATAACTTGGAATGGTTAGAGCCACATACATTATTCCAAGTTGTCAAGGGGTTACTTTACTGTATTCAGTGATCCCTCGAAGATCTGGACCTGGTAAATCCGGATTTTGGAAGATTCAGACAAAAAATTTGGGGTTCTGGGTTAAGAAGCCTCCCTAAGAAGCATTCCCAAAACAGAGCAAAGAACATTTTAGGCCCTTGGGCGCTGGTTGACCGGTCGGTCATGCTGAACACAGGTGCCCGAGGAGGTGGGAAACATAAACAGCTGTCAATTGTTGTTGTGGGAATATTATTTCATTCACTCTAATAGTGATACAATGTTTCTTATTATGTTATCATAGGTAGATGCATGGTTTAGATAATTTGTTTATCACTGTGCCCATCACTGTTTTCAAATTAGACTACAAGATCTGTATTTCGATCGTACGCCTGACAATGGGTGCGGGTCGAGTGACTGCTAGTGGAGTGTCATCTGCTCTTGTAACTCTCCTCTCTCTCTGCCATATTTTGCTGGAGTTACTGTTATTATTAGTGTTCATTGTTATAATAGTGCTTAATAGTGATTAATCATGGCATTTTATCCAGGTTAGACTCATCGCTGTAACCACCAGGCTACTGGGCCAAGCCGTGAGGTGTTAAGGTAGTTTTCAACTTGTATTTTCGGGTAGATGCACACACCATCCTAAATACATATTATGAGAGATAAAGGTAAAAAAAAGTAATCGTCCATAGGGCAAACACGTAATGGGAGGAGAGCGCAGAGTGTAGCTGGTGGGGAGCGTTGCTAGGGAATCGGCGTCCCAGCTGATCTCCGTTACTATGGTGAAGCAGGGAGTGTATGAAAATGGTGACTCTGTGCTGATGGCACGATTCACTTGCGTCATATGCATGATAAGACCAACTTCACGGCGACACAAATTGAGTCACCAAACTTAAAAAATTCATCAAAAATTCAGTTTTCAACAGAATTGTGTCAAACTTTGATGCATCATAGTAGCAAGTAAGTTCTATCAAATAAACTAATTGGCAACTCTCAATGCCCAGAGGAAGGGAAGACCGGAATGATAAATGCACAGTATTATCTCAGCAGTCAGACCGTGAGCCGCGTCCATTTAAATTTCCATTAATCCGTGCAGGCTGCCTCAACCCCTGGATAACAGTGCTTACTCTACTCCCTGAAATAATTTATTTTTAGTGTTAGAGAAGTGAAGTGATGATTGTGTAATGAAATATTTTGTTAATATTTACAGGGAAAGTGTTTAGTTTTCAAAAAACTTTACCGTATCAGGCTATACAACCTCGTTATAGTGACAATGTCTCGGAAAAAGTCTCTGAAAGAGGAAGATTTTCTAGAACTCCTGTTTAGTGACATTGAGGATCAGTGGATAGTGATAATAAAGAGCCTGGTAGTGAAAATGATCGTGATAACAACAAAGAAGGTCGTGAATCTGAGGGAGAAATTGTGACGGTTGTATCCAAGTCATCACGCGCCTCACCACCAGAGGCTCCCTCTACCACCACCACCACCACCAATGTACCACCACAACCTTCCACATCCCAAGCATCTGCATTATGTAAGCCTCATACCACCCGCTACCTCCCTTCCTCACCACCCCACCGCATGCCTCCCACGGTCACCTAGCACCAGTGGCGGCTCCAAATTTTCTATATAGGAGGGGCTTGGGGATGGCAATCTGTTTGGAAGAGGGGGCTAGGGGACTTGTCTCGAAGCTGTGTTTGCAGAGCAAGCACACTAGTTTTACTTGGAATATATATTACACATCAATAAAAATAGCAGTTTTCTGAAGATGCCAAGGGGTGGCTTTGGGGGAGCTGATGGGGAGGCTGCAGTCCCCCAAGCCACCACCACTGCCTAGCACCTTCCACCTCTCACACTCCACTTATCAGCTATGTTACAATGGAATCCCTCTCCTTGTCTACTCCACACCCTCATCCACACCCCCACACCCTTATCCATACTCCCACACACTCATCCACATCCCCACACCCTCATCCACATCCCCACACCCTCATCCACATCCCTACACATTCATCCACACACTCCTACATTCATTCACTCTCACTTTTTCATTTTACTCGGGCTCATTCACTCACTTCCTCCCCCAAAGTCCATCTACAAGTTCCAAAAGTCTTCCACCTCACTGAAGGATGTGAGTACAGAATGATCTTATTTTATATCAGTACAGAATGAATTTATTTTAGAATTAATTTTCTGTTATTTTGAATTGTGGCATATAGTCGACCTCAAGATTTTTAGTTAAAAATTCAGGTTTAGTTCTATACTCGCCGTATAAGTCGACCCCCCAAGGCCCAAACATAGGTGAAAGTGTGTAATAAGGCCACGCCACTTTCATCAAGACACTTACTGTAATACCTTTCCATATTTGATATATATATTATATACTTCATACAAAAAGGGAAGTGGGCAACAGGATCTACATAGGACACCAAGCAACCGCTAAAAATCTTCAGTATGTTATCTTCGTAAGAACTGGTAAACACCAAGCCAAAATCAGCACCTCCAATAAAATATTAATTGTTTACACAGCATACCAGTATAGCACCATGATAGTACCGCTATAAACGGCATGATAGTAGAACATTATGGTACACCTGGCTTATGATTTGCCATTTGCATCAGCTGTTGTAAACAAACTGCCAGTGGTGCCACCATTACCACACGGCCAGCTGCGAAACTATGGGTCCGTTCCACTGTCGGCAGCACAGCTCAGACTTAAACTGTCATCCGCTGCAGCACTGTTGTTTGAAGAGTTTGCAAATAAGCCATTTGAGGACAATATTTGTTCTGAGTGGAATAAATGGATGGTTGAGGGAGAAAAGCCATTCACGAAGGGGGGTAATATGCCTGCTCCACCACTGGATGTGTTGTGTGAATTTGTAATAAAGTCTTGGGAAGCTGTTCGTGTAGAAACTGTCTTAAAATGGTTAAAAAAAGTGTGGGATTTCAAATGTAATGGATGGGGAAGAAGATGATTTGTTGTGGCGAGACAGTGACGAGGAGGAGGATAACAGCAAAAATAATGAAGACAAAGTCGGAAGTTCCAGTGATTCGGACCCATATGCAGACCTCTTTATGAACAGTCAGCAGACTTTGAAGGATTTTAAAATGTGATCATACACGCTTTTATTGTCAATAAAATATAACTTAGAAGTAAAATTAATCTTGAAGTTAAAGTTATAACTTTTTATCTTAGAGTTAAGGTTTTAATTACGATGTCATTGTGTGTACGTATATTAGATAAACTGCCATTGTGTATCATTAAACTGTCATTACTCCTGTAGTGTATGTGAACTCACATTCTATAGCGCTATCATAAAATTGCGCAGATGGCACCGTATTGTAGTACCTGGTAGTTGTCTGGCTGGCCGCCGGGTTTAGTGGCGATCTGATCAATTGTTTACTGTCCATCAGCTGTTGGAAATGGCATGTGGTGTTGTGTTTGTTTAATTATACCCGATACTGGAATTTACTATTTTATTATAATCTCTATGTTAAATAAGTTTACCAAACATGAATTTCAGTAGGAAATATTAGCGGCAGGCCACGGGAGTTACGCTAAGTGATGCACAGCGAGTGTTGGGCAGCTGTTCCACTTGTTTACCACTATGTGGTACAGCTTCACATTTTATACTTGGCATATAAGTCGACCCCTGGTTTAGGAGAGATTTTTTTAAGCTTAAAATGTCGACTTATACGCCACAATTTAAAGTAGATATTGTATTACGGTACTTTATTTTACTATATGACAATCACGTGATGCAGTTCAACACCCATTCTCCTATATATATACAGTATTACCCCGCCTAACGCGGTTTCACTTAACGCGTTTTATCATATACGCGGTGCCTCGCCAGAGCTGAACTTTCACTTAACACGGATTTTTTCCACATATACGCGGTGAGTGTCCGGCTCGAGACGCTATTTTTAGATTTGCCCCACCCGCCACCCTGCCTGACTGCCTGTTTTAGCTCATAAAATTCATACAAATTACCCGGCCATCTCAATCATCATTCTCTGAGTTCAGGAGCTTCATGTGGGTGTACAATACAGTACAGTATATCATATAGCTGCCATTTGTTTGTATACTTTTCACTTGGTTTTTATCTCTTTTCCAGAGCCACAATACCTGAGGAGGAACAGGCCGATATCTTCCGTGAGTTGTCTCCTCACTATCATCAGTTGGAGGCCTCAAGAAGACGTGCCAAGAGGCGCCGCACTCAAGTGACTCGCTCATAACAATATTGTTAACAACCGCTTCACTGTTGTTGATATACTGTACCAAGCAGTTGATGTACAGTTATATTATATAGTTGATATAGTGTACAGTACTTGTAGTAGATTTCGTGAGGAAATGAAGGAGGTAACAAATAGTCACACTTAGAGTAGATTAAACATTTATTTTATGTGACAAGAAAAAGCAAAAACAAATAAAAGTGATAAATTTTATTTGATTTATTCATAATTGATGTTAACCAAACACCTGAGTCATATTCTTAACATAACCAAACACCTGAGTCATAATGTTAACATAACCAAACACCTGAGTCATAGTGTTACCAACCAAACACCTAAGTCATATTGTTAACATAACCAAACACCTGAGTCATATTGTTAACATAACAAAACACCTGAGTCATATTGTTAACATAACCAAACACCTAAGTTATAATGTTAACATAACCAAACACCTGAGTCATAGTGTTACCAACCAAACACCTGAGTTATACTGTTAACATAACCAAACACCTGAGTTATAGTGTTAACATAACCAAACACCTGAGTTTTAATGTTAACATAACCAAACACCTGAGTCATAGTGTTACATAACCAAACACCTAAGTCGTATTGTTAACCAAACACCTGAGTCATAATGTTAACATAACCAAACACCTGAGTTATATTGTTAACATAACCAAACACCTGAGTTATAATGTTAACATAACCAAACACCTGAGTCATAATGTTAGCATAACCAAACACCTGAGTTTTATTGTTAACATAACCAAACACCTGAGTCATAATGTTAGCATAACCAAACACCTGAGTTATAGTGTTAATATAACCAAACACCTAAGTCGTATTGTTAACCAAACACCTGAGTCATAATGTTAACATAACCAAACACCTGAGTTATATTGTTAACATAACCAAACACCTGTGTTATAATGTTAACATAACCAAACACCTGAGTCATAATGTTAACATAACCAAACACCTGAGTCATATTCTTAACATAACCAAACACCTGAGTCATAATGTTAGCTTAACCAAACACCTGAGTCATATTGTTAACATAACCAAACACCTGAGTCATAATGTTAGCTTAACCAAACACCCGAGTCATAATGTTAACATAACCAAACACCTGAGTCATATTGTTAACATAACCAAACACCTGAGTCATAATGTTAACATAACCAAACACCTGAGTCATATTGTTAACATAACCAAACACCTGAGTCATAATGTTAGCATAACCAAACACCTGAGTTATAGTGTTAATATAACCAAACATATAAGTCGTATTGTTAACCAAACACCTGAGTCATAATGTTAACATAACCAAACACCTGAGTTATATTGTTAACATAACCAATAACCTGAGTTATAATGTTAACGTAACCAAACACCTGAGTTATAATGTTAACATAACCAAACACCTGAGTTATAATGTTAACATAACCAAACACCTCAGTTATAGTGTTAACATAGCCAAACACCTGAGTCATAATGTTAACATAACCAAACACCTGAGTCATAATGTTAACATAACCAAACACCTGAGTCATAATGCTAGCATAACCAAACACCTGAGTCATATTGTTAACATAACCAATAACCTGAGTTATAATGTTAACATAACCAAACACCTGAGTTATAATGTTAACATAACCAAACACCTGAGTTATAATGTTAACATAACCAAACACCTCAGTTATAGTGTTAACATATCCAAACACCTGAGTCATAATGTTAACAACCAAACACCTGAGTCATAATGTTAGCATAACCAAACACCTGAGTCATATTGTTAACATAACCAATAACCTGAGTTATAATGTTAACATAACCAAACACCTGAGTTATAATGTTAACATAACCAAACACCTGAGTCATAATGTTAACATAACCAAACACCTGAGTCATAATGTTAACATAACCAAACACCTGAGTTATAATGTTAACATAACCATGACCCCATAACTACCATAACTACCATGGCCACCATAACTACCATGGCCACCACAACTACCATGGCTACCGTAACTACCATGACCACCATAACTACCATGACCATCATAACTACCATGAACACCATAAACTCGTAAGCCTTATAATCACCTGATCATTTAAACACTTTTCATGGAGTCCAAAATGTGTTTGATTGTTGTAGATTGACTGGAATGTTTGGGAAGAAAAAAGTTTTATTTGGTGTGCTGCAGTTGTTGTACTGCCTCTGTACTGTATATTCTTAAGGCGGCGTCACACCTGCCCCGCCCCTCAACTGGCAATAGATCAGCAAACTCCAGAGGTAACACGCGCCCTCCCCACTAAACGTCACAGCTTAAGGTTGAAGAAGTCACAAGTTCAGGAAATTGTCAGGAAAAACTTTTTAGGAGTGAGAATGGACGAGTTGACGGTCGGATTTTTTTTGTAAGATGGTGTGGGGTTTCGTTATATTTGGTTCACACTCAGGATGGGATGGAGAAAGGAAACTCACAATGTGCTCTCTGTATACATATTGTATTGGATGTACAGTGCAGCTTGGTGCTGGGAAGTGGCAGCGTGGTTACAAGCGTTGAGTAGAGAGAGCTGGTTGGTGAGGGTGCTCAGAGGACCAGCTTGTGAGTTGCCATGGTCGCCGGTGGGAGCGAGGGCCGCCAGGCAGGAGGAGGAGGAGGAGGAGGTGTTGCTTGCTGGTGGCTGTAGGTAGAAATAGGTAGGTCACCACGAGGTCAGGTCTTATATAGCGGGGGTAGGCATGGCTTAATAGTTGACCTCAGTCGTGTAAGGCGGCGCTGGTTGACCTAGACCTGAGGTGCGGCTGGATTCGTGAGTCGGCTCGTCAGCGACAAACAGCGTTTGTAGAGGAGGAATCCACTACAATGGCAGGTCAATGGGTAAAGAAAAGAAAAACGCTTAAATTCACTATGGTAATATTTTAAAATAAATTAGGCCCAAAAGTGTAAAAAATAAGGATTAAAGTTATTAAAAAAGTCACATGACTGCGAAAAGCTCTGTGATTGGTTGTGACGTCACTGATTGGCACGAGCCGCCCAGTATCTGTGGTGTGTGGGTGTTGTTACCAGCCATATACACTGATGATATACCCAGGCATACCTTATTTTTAGGTTAAAATAAATTACTGCTCAAGTATTAATCGTTTGTATTTACTTGCTGGATGCTAAAATGATGCAAAAGACCGATAACTTCAACATGAAAGTTTTCATCACTGTTCTCTATTTCATGTCTGGAAAATGTCGTCACTAATGTCTATATTTAATGTTGTGGAAGGACTAGGGACGACCATGGTCAGGGAATGAGCTTGAGATGATCAGATGACAGATGTAACTTAACGTGCTTCATAGCTGGTTGGCCAAATTCTAGATAATACTCTTACAATCATAATGACATCTACTTTTGATAAATTTCTTTCATCTTCCTTGATGAACCCTGAAAGTAGTTGTCCAACCTTCTCGGCTGATCGACTCTATAAATAAATATTAGAAAATTAATTGTGCTTTACTGTGCAACATAGTAATGCTACATTGAATACTGTATATAAATATTACTAAGCACATTAACTAACTCAATGGATATTAGCAGCCCATACAACAAATTTCATAGTATAGACATTCCTAACAATATTGGTATTATTTTGGTTTTGGCCATCTGGGAAACCTTAAGATTCTAACTATGGGATTAAGTACTTTAAACAATAAGGCACATTATCTCTATGGATTTCTGTCGCATAGGAAAATTCAGGTCATAGGTTAGGTTAGGGTATGATGAGTTATAAGGTTAGCTTAACTTACATCGGTAAAGGGGGGGTAGTAACTCAAAACTCGTGATTTCCGATAGAAATGGAGGTCTAAATCGTTCATAACACATCACAAACCATCAGGAAAAAAGAAAACATAGTCTGCATGTCTAAGTACAGGGATAACCAAAACTTAAAATTTACCCAATATAGCCTATCTTGAATCTAAGCATCCAAGTATTTATGGTAGTTAAGTAACATTTTACCCATTAATTAATATAAATGATGGTATATCCCAGTGGTTCATTATTGAATCATCAAAACAATAACCACTATGTTGTCATGTTTACCTAGTAGCACCAGGCATTCTCAAAACAATGCTATTACTGTACTTCTAAACTGACTCTTATCTCCATCTAATTCCGATATCCTCTGTAAATGCACTAAAAAAAAAAAAGTTTACCAGGTAAGAGTACATGACAGCTGAGCTGGTGTGAACATGGGAGTTTTTTATGTCCATAAGAACATAAGAATGGAGGAAACTGCAGCGGGCCTATTGGCCCATACTGGGCAGTCCCATTTACACCCAACCCCTATTGTTCATATATTCATCCAACCTATGTTTGAAGCAGCTCTTCATGGCACATTTCTTCACTTATGAAATGTCCAGGACTTAAACCATAAAAAAAACACCCTTAAATCATACCTGGCGTCTAAAGAGGCCATCCTCTGTACTACCTATGACTGCAGCAGTGAGTTTGATAGAGAGCTTAGTCTGCTGGGAAACTGGTGATGTCATTGCAAATGGCGGCCCTGTTTCTAGAGAAATAACTTATCTCCACTATTATAGCAAGACTTTAAACTTTTATTACAAATTATATATACCGTATCACTCTACGAACGTGGCAGAGTGTATTTCTTGTGTTTAATTAGAACCGACAACACGTCCATTGTGAACTTGTAGGGGATACTATCCCCTACAACTGCTGACTGATCACTTGCCGTTTGCTTACCAGCCAATGGAATGTAACTGTTATAAGGCGGGCGAATTAAGTGTTGCGTCTCTGCTTAACCAGCGTGTTGGCATCCGGACGCCGATGTAGAAGCGGCAGAAATTGAACGTGATTACATAAGTTCGTCAAGATGCGTCTTAGTGAGGTGAAAGTGTAAATCGATGTCGGACTTTTCATGCGCCCTGGAACACGATTGTATTTTTAGCTCAATTTCCACCGAGTTGGAGGGTACAGCCAGGTCCTGAGCCTATAACCACACAATCACTGCCACATGACAAAGCTTTTATTTTTATTTTATTTTTGGGGAGTGTTGTGGTCACGGCTGTACGATAAAGGCCAACCAGGGAGTGTAGTACTGTGCCTTCAGTTAAATCAGTTCATAGTTGTCATCAGTGAATGCAGAAGAGACTATAATAACTTAAAGTGAATACATATTGGCAATGTCCAGGCTG